CCCCCACGCCTAAAGGGCCTAAAGGGACGTTTGGGCGAGATGCGTCGGATGTCGACCTCCTCCGTGGCGGTCGCACGGCTAGCGCCGCTGACAGGCGCAGTTCTTCCTCCTCCTCTAACGTCTCGGTCAGGTTCTCGATGCGCTCCTCCAGGCTGAGATCGGCGTCTCGGAGCTCTAGCTGGCCCGCGTGCACTCTATCGAGCTGCTCGTCGTGATCTCGGAGCTTATCGTAGATTTGACGGAGCTGCTCATCGTGTTGCTGAGTCCGGCGCTCCGCCTGCTCGATGGAACGCCAGCTCATGCTGACGTTTCGGTAGGCTCCCTTGATCTGCTCGCCGACCTCCTCCTTGCTCTTTTCCAAGTGGTCCTCCACTTCGTTCAGCCTGCTGATTACGCTGTCCAAGACGTCGTCTTGCCCTTTGGACATCTGCTCTTCGAGCTGTTGCAGCCGCCTTTTCAGTAGCTCGAGCTCCTGCTTCTGGTCTGTTGAGACCTCGGGCTCCTTGTTGTGGAAACATGCCAGATGTCCACATTCACAGGTTGCGCCGGGGATGCCGGTGTTGAGCGAGAAATTGGCGCAAGCACACCTCCGGCCTTTGACCTCGGGATGAAGCAGGATGTATCGGCAGTGCCCCTGAGGCATTTTGGCTTCGTCCGGCTGGCCGTTGGCTGCCATTTGCAACGGTGACGGAGAGCCCGAGTGTACCGACATCTCGGGTATGAGAGGGGTGATTATTGCCTGAGAGCGAGATATGTCCTGCGGCGCCCCTGAGGCCGCAGGTTGCTGTTGGTGAGGAAACAGCTTGGCTGATGGGTCCGTGGTAGGTGGTAGGTTGGTGTCCCGAAGGGTGAAGATGGGATAAAATAAAGGGCCGGGAGGGAGAGAGATAAGAGATGAAAGAGAGAGAAAGAGAGAGAGAGAGAGTAGCGACCCAACGACGGCGGCTTATCGGAAATCACACATGGCAGTCAGGAGCTGGACTGGCCGGGATATATCCATGGGGCAGCGGTGAAGTAGGCCGTGCTCGTCGACAGTTAACCCCAGTTTTCGGCGGAGCCAGAGACACTTGGCCACGGGACAAGCAGCGGGGGCGGGGACCGGGAGTTACGTGTGAGAGATGGGGCTGGTCGTCAGGGTCCTTGAGAGGCTCTGTGGAAGCCGATATGTCGTGTGACTGAGGCCCGGAAACAGCAGCGGTGGGTTTGCTATCGGGCGCCAATATGATGCGATCAGGGCCCAAGGCAAGGTAGCAAGGGGAATGGCCGACTGATAAACGATTTAGGACGGGTCCAGGGAGGAAGGGAGGCGGGGCTGTTTGGTTGGTTGGAGAGGAAGGGGGAATCCTCGGTGAAATGCTGGGGGGTGGCTGCGGTCCCAGATCTGGCGGTATCTGATACCGAGAGATGCAAGCCGAGCGAGTGTCTCAAGGTTGCTGATAGGCAAGGCAAAACCGGTTGCAGGATCCCTAGGTCTCTGATCTGCCCAGAGCGGCAGAGCGGCAGCTTCCCGTGGTAGCGTAGGTATGGAGATAACGTTCCGAGGTTTGTGTGGAGAGAGTGCGGACGCTCCCGATAACGGCCAGCCGAAAATTGTTTGGTAAGGTCAGGTACTTTGATGGTCGCAGCGGCGTTGGGAGCGGGTAACTTTTAAATGTTGTATGGAGCCGCGGAAAGGGAAAGAAGACGCCCGACCCGACGAGGAAAACACGGGATGCAGGAAGTAGGAAAGTAGGAAGGAAGAAAGACAAAAAGCAGCGCCGCGGTTGGCGAGGTTGTGGGCCGGAGAAAAAGAAGGACGGAAAAGGCCCCAAGAGATACCCAGTCCGCCCAGTATAGATAGCGGCGGCTGCTAGGATTTGAGCAAGATAAATTGCTTGCCGGGCGAGAGAGGTACCCAGCCGTTTCTGAAGGCCATGGCAGCGGGTCCTTACCAATAGCGAGGTACCGGGGACGCCGCGGGTCGAGTTCCCGTGTGGGGAGGTTCCATCCTATGTGGCACTACGCTGCCCCTCCACGACTTCCCGCGGCCGTCGTACCTTTTTCTTTGGAACCCCCCGTTCGACGCTGCGATGGCGCCAGGTGACGTGACAATTGTCTTTGACTGCCAAAGCTCGGGCGAAGCGCTTCGTACATTCCTACATGCACGAATACACAAACGTGTACAATGTACAACAAGCAGAGCACCTCGCGATCTGACGGAGGATGTGCGAAGGCGGTCTGGCCGGTGGAGATTCCACCGTACCGTAGTATGTTGTGTGTAATACATTGCGGATCAAGTGGGAACGGACGAGCGCATTGTGTGAAAAGCCTTTCGACAAGCGTGGGCGGGACGTGGAGAGGGACAACCATGCGCTGTGCGAAAGGTGGGCGCAGCGGCGGAGCTTGGTGTGTCAATGACCGAAAGAGACGGCGCCGGCTCTGCACATGGCCAGGCGTGCCAGGCTCTTTGGATGAACAGCCCTGCTTCCCCAACCTGGAAACCTTTTTTTTTTCTTTGCCTGTTCCCCAGAATCCCCCCGCCGGTGGGATGTGGACTCCGTTTGTCCCAAAATGGGCAGCAAGGCCAGCAGGGTCCTCGCCCGTTACGGGCCAGGGGAGCTCTCCTTCTCTGTCGCTTTGGCATTTGCGATGAACTTGTGGGCCAACAAGAAACTTTCTCAACAGGGCCGATCTGACAGGGATCCCCAGTGGGACTCGAGGGATGCCACATGGAGCAAGCAGCGACCAACCCGGCGGCCGTCTGTGGGGGTCCAAGATAAGAAAGAGTTTGCTGCCTGAGGCTGCAGGCTAGCCGGCGTTCCAGACGCAGCCCCGCGAGCCGACAAATCTTGGCTCACATTTCTGGGCATAAACGCCGGGGAGAAACAAAAAAAGGCACATCGACACGGTGCATGATTCTAGAAGTTCGGCAGGAATCCCCAGACCCCGATTCCTGCATCAGGCCTCCCTCCTAGATTTTGGCGGCCTGGGACTCTTCCCATTCGGCCGCGATTTGGATCTGATCTTTTTTACCATTCAAGCCCCCTTTGTTGAACGCCTTTTCCGTTCCCGAGATGTGAGCTTGTTTGCAATCTTGGTGCTGCCGATGGCAGCTGCAAGATAAGGTGGGCTCCACGGACCAGGGCAAGCTGAGACCTCCGATTCCTCCCATCCCATACCTCGTACCTGGGTTGGTTATCTTGAGTGACGTGCCGTCGCACGCCTCCCAGTCTCACAGACCACAGCTTTTGCATGACTCTTGCACCTCGAAACCGACTCATCACCCGTCATTTGTCTTTGCCTCAATCTCCCTCGACTGCTCATAATTTTTTTTCTTTGCGGCATGTTGCGCCAGCTACTGGCGCAATTATGCTGTCGGCTGATGTGCCGATTATCCTGTCGCACAGCAGTCATAACCGAGCAATCCTACATATTGTGGGAACGGGAGGGAAAGCCGACCTCCTGCGACCGACGCCGCCCAAGTCCGCTGGACCAAGTTTTGAACCACTGCCGAATGAGGCAACAATTACTCTCCGAGCTTACCGCACCTAGCCATCGAGCCATTCACTGGATGTCAACGGTTGGAGGACCGGAGATCTCTGAACGACGAGAGAAGAAACCGTCTCGCAACCAAGAAGTGGCTTCCCGCCTCGGATCCCTGCGACTAATCGGGTACCGCAGCATGGCTGGCACGCAAGCCATGCCTGCCCTGACGCTCTGAGGCGCGGCCATATCGCGATAAGGGGGAGATATGGTATCAGAGTAGCGGTGGCCCCGGCAGGTTTCGGGTTCGCTTGTCTCTTTCTTCCCACAGCTGCCTGCAGCGACGAGGCCCGTGAGGGAGGTCTGTGAGCGAGGCAGAAAACCTGTGGGCGCCATGCGCGCGCACGCCTTCGGCCAAACAGATAACGTGCTGGGGCCGGCTGCGCGCAAACCGTTTCGTGATTTGCGAGCCTTTGGTCGCCATCCAACACCGAGTACCCGGCCTAAACCCGGCCAATCGCCGTGCCATCAGGGGAGCACGGGAGGCATGCAACATCGAAATGCTGCGACACGGGGCGAGAGGTGAAGCTGCAGCGGCCCCTCGGATGGTACCACATTATGCTTTTGGGCAGCATACGTGCAGGCGGTGCTGTGGGCGAATAGTGTGGCCCTCTGGACCAGCCGCAGTTACCTGTGTATTATATACATAAACAAGGGCTCCATCTCCCGGACTGTGACAGACACGCAACCCTTTAAACTACCAACGACAGGCTCGGACCCCAAGTCCGTTTGACACACGTCTCTGGGAAGTCGTCCAGCTTTGATAGGGCGGCGCGTTCCTTGCGTGCTTTGTCTCGGAATGGTTGACACCCCGTGCACCATCCATATCGAGCACGTAAATTTTGCGGACAAGTGTCGTCCGTTGTCGTTGTCCAACGTGGCGTTTCTTGATCGAGATCGGAACCAGATGCCCAGGACTGGGAGCATCACAAACATTGGCGTCAGCAGCCCTCAAGGGACACGCGCGGTGGTGCGGTGCAGTGGGGTCAAATTGGCATTCAGCCTCGAACGGGTGCATCCCGCCGCCTCGTCTTGGGAGGCGTTGCGCTGAGTAGACCATTACCTAATGGGACGATACCCCTTGTCGTGGGGTAACAGGAGCAGACAAATGGCAGCGCGCGGACGTAACACATGTTCGCCCGATTCGTACGGATTTGTGCCGCCGGGCCCAGATCCAACGGCTTTGACCATCGGACGCCGGGCGTCGTGAAACGCAGAGGCGAGCCGCCGCACCGGGAGAAAGCAAGCAAACGGACAACAAGAAGTCACAAGACGGAGGGGGAAGGCCTCCCACCTCCCACGGTGATGTGATAGTGGAATGAGCACGGCGGAGCCCATGCATTCCACATCCGTCCATGTCGGAAGAGGGTTCTGGCCACTTTCTTTCCCCCACCAAGCAGCCGCCGCAAGCGCATTTGGGGGACAATCTCGAAAAATACGTCAGAGAACAGGGAGAACCAAAAGCGACCTGGCTGGTCGTGTCTGATTGGGAATGAATGTGCGGCAGACAGGGGTAGAAAGAAAGCAAGCATTTGTTATCATGACCTGGTTCGCGATAACGAATAGATAAGCGCACCGAAGCCATCGGCGCCCGGCCCGCACCACTTACACGGGAGATGTCTGCCCAATGTGGACTAAATCCGCCAGTGAGACAGCTGGATCAAGATGCCCGGGTCAGCTCCAGCTGAGGTGAGCAAGGAAAGAAGGGTGAGATGTCGTTGCTTCTTTCTCAGCCCTATCACGAACCATAAATGTCCCTGCCCAGAGCACGTCATCGTCCATACCCCTGGCTCACCCGAGATTTCTCCTTTGGAGTTGAAGGGATGAGTCCGATTGGGACGAGTCCGGTTGAGATGGCATCCGGGGGGACCTAGCTTGCAACGGGAGGGCGCGCTCCCGCCCCTACCAAAAACGTTATCTCTGCTCTCTCGGCCGACACGGCGTGGACGGACGTGATGTCTCGTGGCGTGGCTGAGTTGGACTCGATGCCCACGAAACACGCGCCGAAAGTTCCTCCTCCCCAGAACAAGCGTCGTTCTTTCGTTGGCGGCCCTGTCTAGCTTCAGCTTTGTGATGTGCCGCCACGGGCGGCAAGACGGGTCCAGCGCCGGACTAAGTCACCGAGTGTCGAACTCATCCCGCTTGGATATCTAGTTGTGATTTGGGGGACGTTGGGGGTGTAAAGGTTTGGGGGAGGTTCGGTTTGGTTTTCAAGCGAGCCCAGGCGGCTGGATTCCACATGCACCGACGTCGCGTAACGGTACCATTGGGCGAGTGGCATTCGTCGCACGTGGGAACTTCATATATCAAGAGGCCGCGTCGGAAGATGTTAGTAAAGATGGGGGTCGACGGGCCGCTGAAAGGGTATGTATCACGAAGCGTGTCACTCCAATTGGTCCCGAACCTCCCCCCGTGCCGTCGAGGGCGATGCCCCGCGAGGATACAGCGCTTGGAGATTTCGGTCTGCTGTCTTTGTCTTCCACGTCCCGCTCTTGAACCCTAGATGCATTAGTCACCGGTATGCCGCCTTCACCCCACCCCCCATCGTCTCGCTCCCTGGAAAATGTCCCGATCGACCCCTAAGGTTGACCGGTGTCTGGCGACCTGCCATCGTCGACGCGAAGCCTGGATATCTGGGAGGTACGGTAGGATTACATGAGTACCAAAAACGTGCTATGATGGGCAAAGAGGGGAGGGCTCGTACGTGTAGTGGCTCCCCAAGATGCGTGGAATGAGAGTGGATTCCAATAGAGGTGGATTTTGTGAGAGAGAACATGAAATATCTTCCAGATGGCTAGGCCATGGTGAACTATTGGATTATTGGCTTCTTAGCGTCGGTGAGGCAGCTGGGCTTTTGTTGACCGTGGTGAAGTACGAAGGAGAAGCTTGACCTGACACAGCAACCATTTCTACAATGTCGGAATGGGAAATGTTTGGCATGCTGGCAGGCTGGGTAAGTAGGCTCCCTCTGGCCAAAAAAAGCCAAACTCGAAAGGGGCAGAAATCAAGAAAAGAGTAGAAGTAAAAGAACCTGAACTAGGAAAAGAAAAGGTAAAGAAAAGGAAAAGAAGACTTTAGGCTTCTAAATGGTGTTCTTTCCGTTCCGCTAGTCGAAGGTTCCGTTGACACCTCTACTTTGGAGTTCGGCTTTTTTGGCCAGAGAGAGTGGTAGGTTCAACCCCTCCATCTCGGTGGAATAAAAGTCCGCTCCCGTTGAGCCAAGTGGAGAAAAAAGTGCAGATTACAGGGGTCAGGCCTCCCTGGTCAATCGCGATAAGCTCTTAGTGCAGAGATCGCGTCTGAATTTATTCTAGATAAGATTCGGTCCTGGATCACCACTACCAAAACGCTAGGCGTTGACCCCGATCCCCAATTCAAGTGTATTGCCATGTTGCGACTGGTTAGCCAAGGGCGTAGCGCACTGAGAACTCATCTTATATGTTTATCATGTCGCGCGCTCCTTGCCAGCGGTGCCACGAGGCTCCCGAGTGCCGTCGCAAAAATTTGTGCGGTACGCCACTACTCGTCGCCGTCGGCCATTGATCAGCCCGCACAGCCCTCAGAGCCACCGCAAGAGTCAGGGATCACCGAGAAAGAGGCTAAGAAGGGCCCAGAGAAAAAGCCCAAGAAAAGGGCCGAGAGACAGGCCAAGGGTGATTCTGGGAAAGAAACCAAGAAAGATTACAGGAAACGGAGCAACAAAGATTCCGAGAAACCCACGACTCCAAAGCCAACGAAACCTTCAAAAGCTAAATACTCAAAATCAACCAGGCCTTCAAAGTCAACCTCATCCGCTTTGACGCCATCCTCGGACTCGCCCGCCGCTAGACAACAGATCTGGCTCGAAACCTTGAATTTGTTGAAGGACATTAAGGACAGCCGCCGCTCGCCCTCTCAAACCAAACATGAACCTGCCGTTGAGGTTGAGGAAATACAGAAATCTCCGGGCCGCGACAGAAGGCTCGAAGGCGTTCTTTACATGCTGAAGCAGGTCCTCCGCCAGGAGTTGGGGGATGCTACACAGGGCGTCGCACATGTACCGATCGAGAGTCCACCGGTAGATACGCCACAGGAAAAGAAACCGGTCCGGTTAGGCAAGACCTTGAAAGAGGCCTTGGGTATTGGAAGGCCAAAGGGGGACGAGGAAGTAGCGGAGGAACCGGTGCCGGAGGAGCGCTCGTCTGGGAAAGCTACTAGGAGGGCACTTAAGCCGAAGGCTGCTTCTTCATCACCACAGAAAGCTTCCAAAGGCAGCCCTAAGGCCAAGGTCTCATCGCTTCGCGCCGGCACCAAAACGAGCGGCAAGAAGTCTTCCGACTTCGTTGTCAACCGCATCGATGCCAATAAAATCGATTTAACCCCGGTGGAAAAGGAACAGCCACCTGTCCCTAGTCTAGCTTACGGCCTGGACCGCGTGCTCTTCAACCCAGGTGTTTACCACATCCAAGATCCCCGCTCCCGGGTCTTTAACTTCGATCCCTACTTAGAGCGCATCATGCCCATCAAAGAGTTCGACTTCGACGCTATCAAACAATACGTCACGTCCTCCAAGGACAACGTCCTCATTGAGACAGCCGTCGAGCACCAGAAGAAGTACACAGGCTCGACCTCGAGCATGACTTCAACTCTTGCCCACTTCCACTTCCTCCTTTCGTCCTGGCGTCCCATCAACCCTGCTATGGTGTCCAAGGACTTCGAGATCGATTCGTACCGCTTCACTCGCATTATGCGCGCCCCCGCCGCCACCTTCCTACACTGGAAAGATGGCACGTACGCCATCGATGCCGACAAGGAGTTTGATACCGCAAACGTCCTGAGCATGCTCGGCAAATCCATGGAGAAGTTCCTGACTCTACCCAAAGAAGAGTTTGAAAAATACCGTCGAACAAACTCGGACCAGCTAACCGAGGAGGAGCGCAACGGCCCCGAGTCGTATCACTACACCACCTTGGGCGATTTCATGATGCGGTCCCAGCTCGACGCCTACGACCCCAGGCTTCCTGGGACCGGCATGTTCGATCTCAAGACTAGGGCCGTCGTCTCTATCCGCATGGATGCCCGCGACCCCTACAAGGGTATGGGCTACGAGATCCGCAGCCGCTTCGGTCAGTGGGAGTCGTTTGAGCGCGAGTATTACGACATGATCCGCTCCGCTTTCCTCAAATACTCGCTCCAAGTCCGCATGGGCCGCATGGACGGCATCTTCGTTGCCTACCACAACACGGAACGTATCTTTGGCTTCCAATACATCCCCCTTCCGGAGATGGACCTTTCGCTGCACGGCCAGGAGGACACAACTCTGGGTGACCGCGAGTTCAAGTTAAGTCTCCATCTGCTCAACAAGGTTCTGGACAAGGCCGCAGCCAAGTACCCCGGCCGATCACTGCGCCTGCACTTTGAGACACGAGGGGATAATACGCCCTTCATGTACATCTTCGCCAAGCCGGTCACCCCAGCCGAGATTGAGGAGATCCAAGGCGCTACGCAAGCTAAGGTTGAAGAATTTGAGCGCGAGATGATGGGCATTGTCGGGGGGTCGCGTGCCTTGGGGGGGGAAGAGGACGGAGAAGAGGCTGTTGACGAAGGCGACGAACATGATATCGACGAGGCTGGGGCCGAGCAGATCTCCACCTCTCCCGCCTGGACGGAGGTGAGGCGCAAAGTGGAGGATGAGCTGGAGGACGAGGAGCACGGCACAACCTTTGTCCGCGAGGCCATCGAGGATGCTCTCCAGGAGAGCGGGCTCCTCCGCACCACGGCCCCCGACGAGACCCAGCGCTACGTCGACGCCTTCCTCGAGGCGATTACCAGCAACGCCCGCCGCGTTGTTCCCGAAGCCCAGGAATCTTCTGAGCCTCCCGATTCGGTCGAGGAAACTGATGCCACGTCGGCTGGCACTTCAAAGGCAGCAGAGCCCTCCGAGGAGTTGAACGAGGAGTCGGGCGAGGAGCCCGAAGAGGATGAGCAAACGCCCGCAACCGAGGACTCATCTGCCGACGAGCCTACCTTGAAAGACCTGATTGTCAAGCTGGCGGCCGAGATCCGTACGATCCCCAGGAGGCGGCGGGACCCAGCCAGCGAAGATGAGGACATCACTTACGAAGACGAACCGAAAAACGCGGCCAGCCGTCGGAAGGTCGAGAAGATCTTCTTGGAGCTCACGGAGCAGCCACAGGGAGAGGACAAGGTTGAGGAGGGCGTAGGAAACGGTGTCATTGAGACGGGCACTGTGGTGGTCCAGCCTGGGGAGCAGGTGGAACCAACTGAGGCCGAGACGGCGGAGACAGCTGAGCCGGTCGAGCCGACCGAAGTCGCCGAGCCGAAGGATGAGCCGCCTGCCACGACGTCTGAAGAGTTGGCAACACCGTCCGCCGAGTCAGCCACGGAGGCGGGGGAGACGTCGGCCGCCGCATCGGAAGACTCCGTGGCACCCGAGCCAACCACCGAAACTCCTGCCACACCGTCCGAAGACGCAACACCTTCTTCCGCAGAAGCAGAAACAGAAACAAACATAGAAGCCGAAGCCGAAGCAGAAGCCGAAGCAGAAATCGAAGCCGAAGCCGAAGCCGAAGCCGAAGCCGAAGCCGAAGCCGACTCCGAAATCCCCAGCGAGACCAAAGCCATAAACAAAGAACTATACGGCCTCATCCTCACCATCCGCAACAAGGTCGACGGCAAGTACGTCGAGCGGCCCGAGAACCTGACGGCCAAGCAAAAGTGGCAGGTCGAGTACGCCATCGAGGAGGTCAAGCCGGCGCGGGCACACAACCTGTACAATATGGTGCTCAAGCGGCGCAAGAACCTGCTCTACCCGGAGCAAGGGGACCAGCGCGACCGTTGGTACGACATGTTTCGCGGCAGCCTGGACCGCTACAGCACGACCGGGCGCAGGTTCCGTCGCGACGAGGACAAGCGCCAGCGCGGCCAGCCCGTCCATGTCTATGGCTCCCTGGAGCCGCTGCCGTATGAGCAGGTGTTTGGAGCTGCGCGGGAAGAGACGGAGAATGGACATGAGGATGAGGATGAGGATGCGCGTGAGGATGTGGATGAGGATGGGCCGAAAAAGGAGTAAATAGAGGCGGACATCCACCCGGATTGTACCATACTGTTGGGCGATAGATTTGTACCATGAACTGTACCATATACCACACCACGATCACTCTTTATACCCAGCAGCTCCATCTTCACATCTCGCAACATTCCATTAAGACAAATAAAAGGTCCAAGGAAGCACCAGGTTGATTAACTAACGCATCTTAACCCGATATCCCTATGCCCCTCTATTCTTCCCATCCTTCTGACCTGTCCTCTCTAACACGGCCTTCTAACCCATCATCCAACAATCACAATACGATTACATTGGAGGGTAAACGCAACAGAATACCAACGCGGGACGTCATTAATCCTGGCCATGCACAAAGCGAGTCCAACCGCCGCCGCCGCCACCGAGTAGATGATCCCCAAAACCGCCGAGGTGAAAGGCAAAAAAAAAAAGAAATAGTGGAACAAATGGAACAAAGCCAAATCCCAAAACGCCGCTGCTATGCATAACTTGAGCCTATTATGCCCTCCGCCCTGAAACCCCTCTCTTCCCAAACCAGCTCAAACCAAGACCAACTCAGCGCGGAGAAAGTGACAAGCTGAAGCGGCGTGGTGATCTCCAAACCACCATGCCACGATGGCAAAGTTCTAATTGCAGTGACGCGCGCGCGCGTGCGCACGCCACACCTCGGAGATGTTTATAACTGCAAGTTCCCAACCTCGCACCAATCCCTCACAGGCTAGAAGCGGGCACCGTATTAGCCACAAGCTCCCGAAAGAAGGGAAAATGGGCACGAAAAGGAAAAAAAAAGGGCGAGACTTACCAAACAACTCAAATAGCGGCACCAATCACACGTCGCGCGATCCACATAGAAGTTCTTCAACAAGAGAATGAACACAACGGTCACCAGCACGAGGGCACCGGCGCGGATCAGCCACCAGGCCCACCACAGCGGGCGGCGGCCCTTGAAGAAGCCGACGGGGTTCCTCACGAACGACGGCGGGGTGCCGAGGGCGGCCGAGCCGCCGCTGACGTGGGAGCTGGCGTAGGGGACGTCGTCGCCGATGCGGCGGCGCAGCGAGTTGGGGGAGTGCAGCAGGCACACGCCGAGGCCGAGGCCCATAAGGAAGCCGCCGATGTGGGAGAAGTTGTCGAGGCCCGGGAGCAGGCCGAGCACGAAGGAGATGACGATGTCGAGCAGGATGAAGAGCAGGTCCTTGACGGGGCTGACGCGGTCCTTCCACGAGTAGAGCAGGTCGAGCAGGGTGAGGGCGATGATGCCGAAGAGGGAGCCCGACGCGCCAGTGGAGGCGATGGCGGTGCCGGCGTAGTTGCCGCCCATGACGAAGCCGAAGATGCCGGCCGACATGTAGACGAGGAAGAAGCGGATGGAGCCGATGGACTTCTCCATGTCGCGGCCGAGGGTGAGCTGCAGGAGCATGTTGAAGCCGATGTGGATGAGCCCCGCGTGCATGAAGATGGGGACGATGAAGCGGAACCACTGGTTGGGGGCGGGCTGGATGTTGAGCGGGGTGCCTACTTGGTAGGCGGGCTCCGGAACGCCGCCAAAGCCGCAAAGTTCGGAGAGGGTGCAGTGATTCTCGGGAGCTTTGTCGTCGAGGGTGGTAGTGTTGGGGCACGGCCAAGGTAGCTTCTTATCGGGGTACTCAGTCGCATCGGCGTTCTGAATCCCGTCTACGTTGTGCATGCAGGGGACGAAGCGGGCGCCCATGTTGATGAGGACGTAGGGAGACGGACCGATCATGGGGTTGAAGGAAGGTTTGATCATGATGGGGGAGCCAGTAATGGTAGCTAGGGGGTCGTTAATCTTCTGCGTCCTACCGAGCTAACGACTCGCTCAATGGCAGGGGAAGTAGAGGGGAGGAGGGGTGGGGGGCGCTTGCTACCTACCGTTCTTGACAATTTCGCCGATGAAGACAGCGACCTGGACAATGGTCAAAAAGTAGACGACGAACGGTATCTTTTTGCGGCCGGAACCCAACATGCCGAGCTCGCCAAACCGCACGCGCCCTTTGCGAGCCTTCGACTTCGACGACGCGTCGTAGACGTGGTCCTGCATTTCCGGGTCCTTCGACGGCACGCGCTGGGCGTGGTCTTGGAGGGGAATGTTGTCGGTCGCACGACCGTACATGTCGTCGGGCGAAACGGGAGAATGGCCGTGGTAGCCAGTGTCTTGGTGGCTTAATCGGTGCATGCTTGACGTCGGAGTGGGCTGGTGTGTGCTTGCGGGATATACATGGTCGTCGAAGACGGTTTCAAAGGGTGAAGGAGATGTGCCTTGGGTCGGCCGGTCCCCGGGAGCGAGATAGGGTTGCGAGCTGTATGGGGGTGCGGGCGTAGAGTAGGCAGAGGAGGAGGATGGTGCTGGCCGGCTGCTGTCGTATCCCGGGCCGGCCGCATCGGGTAGCGGTTTTTGCTGGTAATAATCGTTGGCTGCCATTTTTATTTCTTGTTTGGGGGCTTCCCGGGCTCTCGAGAGCACCGAAACGCAAATCTCCCGGGTTAAATGGTGTGTTGGGAAAAGCGATGGTCGTGATCGGACGACAATTTAGCAACGGGTGCTAGGTAGTGTGGAAAAACGAACGTCGGTCGACGGTAATGTCGCAAGTCGAGCGAAGTGAAGCAGGGCCAGGCCAGGGAAACAGAAATTAACCGTTGCAGACCCGCAAGGTGTTTCGGGGGGTTGCGGGTGTAGGGGCCTCCGAAAGTTTGGAGAAGTCCCGTTTGGGTCGCACTGTCGCAAACAACGAGCACAAAGTCTGGTTGCACCGTCGAGTCGGGAATGGTGTTGAAAATGAGAAGTGGCCAGGCCAGGACGGGAGCAGCAAGTTATGGAATGCAAGTGGCCTGAATATTTCAAGACGTACGCGTGTTTCTTGATTTGCCAGGGCCGGGCTGCTGGCCAGTGGAGTGGGTGGTGCTTCTGGATCTTGGGTCAAGTGTGGATCTCAACCCAGCAGCCGAGCAGTCAAGTCAACACACGGGCCCAATGGGGCTGGGCTGGGTGTTCGAGGTTGTTGATAGATTTGCATCGACCTGCTGACTTCAACAGAGGGAGGCCGATGGACGAGACGAAAAGAAAATTACTCGTTCCCGGTCAAAAATAGAACACAATCGCAACGATGCCCTGGTGGCTAGGTAGTTAAGACAAGGGCAGGAGGGCTGATTTCCCCGAACACGAGCCACCTGGTGACGTTTCCCGCCAAGTGTCCAGCAACAAAAGCCGGAGATCAGTGGAGAAGATGGCAGGCTGTGTGCTTCGTGGAAGCTGATCAAGTGAGGGAGGCCGCCACTGAGAAGAGACCTCGCACAGAGGCAACTCATCTCTAGTGGGACGGGCACCACGCCGACAAAATCCCTTGAGAGCCTGGTCATGGTGGCCAACACGGAAGCGCCTGCTTGCAGATTCGCGGCGCTCCAAACCGTTGGCTTACCCGGTAGGTGTTGCTGCAGCTGACAGCCGAATCCAAGGGACATGAAAATAACAACCACCAACCACACAATCATGGCTCCCACTTTTAGAAAATGCGGGGGAAAGGGTTGCCGCCCGCTGAGGCGGTCGAGGCCTTGGGTGGGTGGTTTCAGGTTTGATGCATGACGAACCTGTCGGGCCCTGTCCCGATCCTGTCCATTCGCGGCTAACAGCGCGATGGGTCGCCTCGACGGCTGGCAGCATCTGGCAACCGAGGAATTCCCAATGAGATCCTCAGTACTGTCATTAACGGCCTACCTTGCCTACCTAGGTATCCAGCCTCCTACTAGCTCCAATGACTGTCACGGTTCTGCAAAGTTGTCTTTCCGTCTCATCTTCTTGATTATGGTTTATGGTTAGACCTGCATGGACCGATCCAGGTTCGCCAGGCACGGCGAGGCATCATAGTGTAAACCTTGTCTTGGCGACTACCCAGGTGGGTAACTACATCGGTACTGATAAGATAAGCGAGTGGAAAAGTCCCAAAAACCTCCAGGGGTTCAATTTGACAATTTGACTTGCGCCGCGCTCACCGAGACAAGCTTATCCGACAATTACCTCGCGGCCCCCTCGTTTCCCTAAAAATGCGTTCCTTCCCGGTGCCCTGCCACCGGGGTGTCCTCAATCCGCACGCAATAACACGGCAGCTCTGCCTAACATCAACACAACTGCTGTCCGCTCCCCCAACCCGTCGATCCATTTACCACACAGCGCCGTTATATAAAAATACACGCTCGGACTCTGTTCCCGAAGTACGAAAACCCCGGGCCTCCGAGCTCACCGAACCCACTTCCCCATGGCCCGAGCGAGAGCCGCCGAACGAGGCGGACAAGCCAAACACATCGGAGCCCGACCAGGTTGAGCAACGCCGAGTCGTGTACAACAAGGACGGCCACGAACCGAGCATCCACCGATACATGTTTAGCCCCAACGACAGAATCCCCTCACCACTCCCGCTACGTTACAGCCTATCAGACAGTGGGGGGTGGGGTAGGAAACTGCGGTCCCCTAAAGAAGCCCCCGCCCGAGAAGAAGCCGCTCCCGCAGAAGAATCCTACTCTGCGGATCCCCTGATGATGTTTTACAACAAAATTTCACCGGCAAAGTGGCGGGAGAAGAGCGAGTCGGCCGCCGTAGCAAGCGAAAGCAGATCTGAGGCTAGTGGCATCGAGGCAGAAGCCAGGAGCAGGGAGGCGGAAGCGAGGAGTAGGGAGGCGGAACTATTGTCGACAAAGGAACAGGAGTTGAAGGAAAAGGAGCGGAGCTTAGAGGCTCTGGAGCGAAGGCTCAACGCTCTGGTGCTAAAACTGGAAGGGGAGAGTGAAGGAAAAGGAAAAGAACAAGGCGAGGCGGGTGTTGGAGAGACACCAGGCCCACAAGGCGAGAGGTGTGTTAGAGAGACACCAAACCGACAAGGCGAGGCGAGCTTTAGAGAGGCACCAAACCGACAAGGCGAGGCGGGCTTTAGAGAGGCACCGAGCCGACAAGGCGAGGCGGGCTTTAAAGGAGCACCAAACCGACAAGGCGAGGCGGGCTTTAGAGAGGCACCGGGCCGACAAGGCGAGGCGGGCTTTAGAGGGGCACCAAACCGACAAGGTGAGGCGGGCTTTAGAGAGGCACCGGGCCGACAAGGCGAGACAGGCTTTAGAGAGGCACCGGGCCGACAAGGCGAGGCGGGCTTTAGAGAGGTACCGGGCCAACAAGGCGAGGCGGGCTTTAGAGAGACACCAAACCGACAAGGCGGGCCGGGTTTTGGAGAGACACCAAACCGACAAGGCGGGCCGGGCGTTGGAGAGACACCAGTCCCCCCAATGGCACAGCTCCACTTGGCTGCAATGAAAAAGGCAATACATCCATGTTCCCCGCAAGCTCTACGAATGTCTCCTTACTGACAGCTTGCGAATTGATTAGGTACGCTTGGCACAGGAGGCCAGGTTACGGGAGGTGCCAGCGAATATCGAAGTCCCTTTCGAGGAACTGAAGGCGCTACATAAGATAGGCCCACTCGCGGCACACAAGAGGGTCATGATTCTTGCCTCGTTCAAGAGACAGCAACTCGAATTCGACGTGGCGGAAAACCCCGACCCCGCAAACGGGAAACGGTGGCCGAGGCGCGCAGACACTGAGCTCCGCTGGTGGATCATCAACAACAACCTGCACCAGTTCTTATATCGTAACCCCCGCGAGGAACGGCGGCGAGTGGAGATTATGGACCGCCAGAGGCTGGTTGCCCGGAAGAAGCTCCACATCTCCCCGGACACCCCCGATCCCGTCGATGAGGTGGAAGCCTGGGTCCGTAAGTTCCTCGTACAAAGAGATGCGCAGGCGATCGTCCGCAAGTCCAAGGAATTCACGCGCAAGAACCACCGGCGACTCGTCCTGGCAGAGAGAGCCGGATTCCATGCCCTAATCGCGCAGGGACTTCCAGAGGTCGGCGACGCGAGGCGGGGCCGCATAATAGCAGGCTTACGACGGAAGGAGGAGCGGTTGGCGAAAATAAATGCCAAGAAACAACGGAAGGCGCTCAAAAAAGCGATCAAAAAAAGCGAAGCTGCTTCCAAATAGTCCGCGGCTGCTCTCTGGACTCTCCTGGACGGGTCGCGGTTTCGGCAAAACGGGAATTGAGCCCTCAACGGTTGCAAACGGACTATATATCAGGATACCGCTGTAAAAAAACATGTAATAATACAAAAAAGAAATACGATGCACTCTGTTTTGCGTCCCTGGCAAGTTGGTACTTACACAACTCTTTTAGCCTCTAGCCTCTCTCCGTTATCGGACATCCAATGGGATCATCTTACAATTCCAATCCTCATTCTCCCCGGCGGCAC